TTGGCCTTGTCCGCGCGACTGAAGCCGACTTTGGCCTCTTTCCCTTTCCCGTGATGAGAATGATAATTGAAAAATTTTGAAGTAAATCGTACATATGGAGCAACCAGATGCCCTTCATGTAGTCTGCAATGTCGCGAATGTCCTCACTGAAAGAATGCAGTTACTATATAATACTAGATAGAGTTAACTGAATAGTTATATGAAGAAAAACTCACAGCGCCTCTGCTATGCACGCCCTGGTTGCAGTGCTCCATTAACCAGTACGTTCTCTTCCTCCAAAAGATAGTTGAATTTTTTCCTCTTGCTCCGTTTCACCAAGAGACATCCAGAAGCTAGAATATGCTGCGGATTAGACAGCAGATCACCATTGAAGGCAGCGTCCCGGCAAAATTTCGCTTTCCGGTTTATCACCTCCTCGGAGCCTTCCCGCCATGCTGAAGCCACATCTGAGCTCTACAGGGCTTTAAAATGGCAAAATGAGCTCTCCGTGTCCGCATTTGCTCCAAAATACGTGTAAGAAGTGGGCGGAGCTTGGCAGTGGGCGGTGTCCGAAAGGCTTCCGGAGCGGATTTTGGGCTTTCCAGAAACGCTTTTTCGCTAAAGACTTCACTGATAGATTAGCTAAAGGGTCTGCCATTGCAACACTGTAAAATTTCGGTACCCATCATTTTGAGGAGAGGCTTCCTTTAAGAAGTAGCTCACATGTTTTCGGAATTCTTCAACGAGCACTCGCTGTGATTCAAATGAAGTAAATCCAGAACAGAATCTGAAAATCTTTTTTTAAATGAGCCCATATTGCATGTCAGAAGTACCAGTGATTGTTTCAATTATCGATTCAGGCATATCTATCAACTGCAATTTTCGTGCAACCTTGGAAACTCGGTAGGAGTGGCTCCATATCTCTGATGGAACAGGAAAACACGCCTTGAAAAAATAACCAAAATTATGTTACTGTGGAAAAGATTATTGAGTATTAATATTAAAAATATTATTTTGCGTGTGGATATTGTGAGATTACATGTATGAGTGAGACAGAAAACATTGAAAGTATCAAAACAGAGAGGAGAAGGGAAGGAATGAACGAAAACAGTGGCGATATGAGAATTTTTTTCAGGGAGATGGAAGGAGGGACAAAAATTTTTTGGGTTCATGGGCGTGTAGCCGCTCCCATCAAAAGGAACAAGAATGGCTGAACTTTTGCGGTTTCAATTTTTCTACCCTCCGACTTTTTTAACAAAAGGGGCGTGGAGTGAGCCACACCTTGGAAAAATGTCTACAAGGCTACTTCAAATCCAAAAAATGTTTGCAAATATCATTTTATCATTCACGGAGAGTTCACTAAAAAATTTTTAAAACCCATTAATCCTCCTCCTTTTTCCATCATTCAAAAACTATTATTTACAAAATAATATTCTCAAAATTTTAGGGTTTTTATTCCAAGCAAGGAAAGTAGAAAATGATCCTTGAGTGAATTCCCTCTAGTCCTTTTCCAGCCTTCCAGGCACCTTGGTGGTGTTTGTTGAACCGAAGGTGCAGGTGAACCGACACCTGAAAACAATAATTAGAATATGGAACATACAGGTTTGATTATGCTAGCATCGAAGAATTAGAAGAAAAAAAAGAGAAGACAAGTAGAAGCGAAACAATGTAGAAGGCAATAGCAATGAGTTATAACGAAATCGCACTTTTGGGTATCCAAGCAGTGTGAATCACAAAGAAAGTGCACCACGAGTTATCCCAGCGGCATGACTGCGGCGAAAATCGTTTGCCATTTCGCAATCGCAAGCAGGGTCCGGCACAGATGGTTGGGAGTCAAACTGAACTTCGTTTTTGAGGTTAGGCTGCGTTCATACTGATCCCAAAGTCCGGGAACAGTCCCAGGGGTAGGGGAACGAAAGCCGCCAGTTTGAGCCGCCTTTCGCGGCCAACTGGTCCTTTCGCAGTGTTGTTGCACGTCGTCCCAGGACCAGCAGTCCGCGGAGGCGGCCCGAACTGGCGGCTTTCGTTCCCCTACCCCAGTCCCAGCACAACGCTCATTTCGAGCGCTGTGCTGGAACTGTTCCCGGATTTCGTAATCAGCATGAACGCAGCCTTAGAAGTAACGGGGATATCGTTTTTATAGGTCCTGGGCGAGGTCCCGAAAATAAAAACGACAAACATGTCAGGTTCCTAAACGAGTTAAACGTGTTGTTTGGCAAGCGCGCGAACTTCAAACGCAAGACTCAAACAAACAGATGGCTTGTTTACAGCGCACAAACAATCACATGACGCCGAATTTGGGCTATATTTATAAATTATTACTCCAAACAACATTATGTAAAAAGTCTCAAGAACTTATGTGTCCTAATAACCGTTCCCGAGTTGTTGGTTTCTAGACCAACACCAAACCAATGGGTTGGTTCGGAGCATAAATATCGGAGAGTTTACATAAGTTTTGGACCTTTTTGATCTGGACGAAGAGGACGCTTCAAAATCTATCATACAGCGAAGAGAGCAAATCAAACCACTGTTTCTCCTCTTTTTTGAGCCAAAAATAGTGTAAGCTGAAGCATTGTTAGATATGGCGCTCCAATCAAATGCGGTGCCCTTTGAAGCATGTGGCGAGAGATACAGTCTGCCCCAATCCCAACCAGGCCAAAATTGGCATGGCGGGAGTCCGCGTCGTAGGCTTTCCCGGTCACGCCCACGGCCTGCTTCTCTGCTCTCTCTGCAGTCCTTTTGCTCTCTCCGACAGCGCGCATATACAGCGCAGGCCGCTAGCGCTGCGAGCGCGCAAATTTAGGCCGACGGTTCGGCCTGATCCCGATTGGAGCAGACTGTACATTGCCAGATTGTTGAGGTCATACATTTGTTGGCCTAAGAGTTTTTCAACGTTTTGAACACTAAAATGGTACCCTGCTCAAGAACTGGATCGACTCAGAATGTTTTTTTGCTTCTTTGTTATATTAGGTACCTCAAAACTTGCTTTTTTATCGTCATTTTTTGTTATGTTGATTGAACAAGGGTTTCCCTACTGACTACAGTCTGCCCCAATCCTAACCAGGCCAAAATTGGCTTGGCGGGAGTGCGCGTCGCAAGGGTTTCGCGCCACTTTTGTGTCTAGCTAGTCTGCTCTTTCCTCATCTCTTCGCTCTCTGCGACAGCGAGCGTATGCAGCGCAAATTCAGCCGACGGTTCGGCCTGGTCCCGATTGGGGCAGGCTGTACGTCCAAAGGGACTTCGTAAATTTTCGCGAATTCGTAGGGGACTTCGTTTCCAAAAATGCTTTAAACCAACGCGTGCCGGATCCTGATCGCAAGTGCATGAGCTCTCAAAATCCTGAAATGCTGGCAGGTCAAAGTGTTGCGGAAACCTTACAAGCCTCATTGCATTTTCGCAGCTAATCGCTCTCACGTCATTTTCCTGCGGAAACCCTGCATTTTGGAGCGTGCACTTTCTCAATGATTGAGAAAGTGCTGCGGAATCGCTGCAGATCCTGCTTGCTCCTGCGAAAGTTCCGGTGAATTGTCTGAACACAAAGCTAACAATTATCTCAGTCTGCTTTGAACATACCATCATTACTCATAAAAGCATTGCAATGGCAAATGCTATTGTGGTACTGCAAAAAGACTCTTGAACCAAAACAATTATAAAGTCAGCGCGAACTGACCACTCCTAAATGCATTTGAAATTGAGCCGTCCTTTATAGAGCAGTAGTGAACCAGGGGATTTTGTGTGTTGCATGCCAAGGAGCCATCAGATTCGCATTCTGCATTTTACTCAATGCACTTAGGCAGTAAAACTGCTTCCAGCTTTTAATTTGAAAAAAAAAAACAACAATGCAAGCAAATCTCAAATGTTCTCGTGACCAAAGTGGCCAGCATTGATCCCAGTGAAATCGTCCCAGATAGGTGCTCTGAGTTCACATCCTCCCCTTTTTCCCAATATCCGGTATCGGGACGACACTAAAGTGCCGGATTTCGATTAGAGCGCGATATCTACTGCTAGGAGCGCCAGTTTCTCGATAAAGCACGATTTTCTCCCGATTTGGGGTTCAAAATAGGTACGGATCCGGAGTCACAGTTCTCGCAAAACGATGCCGCACGACGAAAGCAGTACAAGGGTTAGCTTTCGTCATTACTCCGTTACTTCGGAATCGTGTCATGTATCTGCGGCCGCTGCTGCCCTCCCCCCCCCCTCTCCGCTCCCATTTACACTGCCGCCGTGCTACTTCAGCACGGGTGAACCCTTGTGGGACGCAGATTATCTCTCATTGTATGCGGGAGAGCACCCGCCGCGCGCAGTTTGACTCTTAATCTGTGGTTCCCAATAACAGATTTGTTTTTTATGGCAACTCCTTATACATTTACATATACGCTAAACCGATCATTCAAAAATTTTTGACTACTGGCCTCACAAAACATGGATGTAGCAACGAAGAAGAGAAAATTAACGAAGCGAGAAGCGAATGCAAAACATTCTTTATTTTGTAGGCAACAAGTAATTCTTCAACAAGTAAATGAGAACACGATCCTACAAATGACCAAAAAACTCTATGCGAACAACCAAAAAAACAAACAAAGCGTTTAACAAACATATGTCGCAAATCATCTTTATATCATAGATACCAGCTACTAGGTAGAAACCAGCTTATGGAGAGCAGCAAATTTAGGAGATCAGAAACCATCGGCCTAAGAATGAAGTATGGAGATCGAAACAGTGTGTGAATAAAACTACGTCATTCTGTGCATGTGATCAATATAGAACAGTCAATGTTAGCATAAGCTTTGAATCTTTATTGTGCTTTTTAACTTGAAGCGGTTAAATTTGCGGTCAAAGTACCAAAAATTTTCGTCATCTGCGCGGAAAACTAAATAACAGAAAAAGGAAGAGTAGTGGAACATTCGAATACAAAAAGTACACTCGAATTGGAAAAAGAGAAGGAACCGTTAACAAAAACATTGGTTATTTCATAAAGGCTAAGGAACATCCTTGTATTGGCACTGCTCTTTTTTACAAAGTTAACACGTTCTATCCAATCTAAAAGCATGAAAGGTGAGCCCAAGCTTTGCAAGTCGCTGATGCAGCTTAACAAAGCAAGTTTTCCCCACCTTCTTCTGTGTATCTTTCGCTGCAGACAAAACACGTCTTTAGTAATGTTTGATCGACAGCTAGTATTCGGCACTCTTCTCCATCATGTTGCGCTCATCCATCCTTCGCCGGCTACATTTTTATTAACTTAACGCAAGTCTCTCGAAGTGAAACAATTAGCACTAACAACAACAACTAAGCCTTTTGGGAAAGCGTTTGACGGTAAACATTTCGAAGCAGTTGACCGGAGCAGAGTTCAAGTGTTCTTCACACTGCTTCAAAAATCGGAACTTTCTTCCTCAGTGCAGCAGTTCTTCAAAATGCGACAAATACTGAAGCTTTGTTTGTAACCTAGCGCGCGTACAGGGCTCGGCACGAGCTGGCACCAGGAAATTTTGAAAACGAAGTCCCCCTTGACTTTTCCAAAATTTTACGAAGCCCCCTTTGGCCTCTTTGAAGACCCGCCATTATTTTTGGATTCTGTAAGAGTATGTAACAAGGTTCTAACGCATGCTGATTTCATTGAACAAATTCCGTAAGTTTCCTGAGCTTTTCAAATGGTTAGCACGATCTCAATTCTTGCCTCACTTAGTTCCTCCTGATTTCTTCGATAAACCCATTCAGATCAAAAACTCAAAAACTCAAACTACATGTTCTTCTAACAATGCAGTCATATCTAGAAAACCAAATGTACAGTCTTAAAAAGCTCAAAAACTTTGGGACAGGATGAGCCCTCCGTATGTCGCACTCTTAGGTTTTGGAGTGAAGAAGAGGAAGAAGAAGTAACTTTCGAAGGACTTATGCCTAACCTCTTGCTCAACACTGGACAGGATGTTGATTACATTGAACTCCTCACAAATTTATTCTCATCTTCGTGATATGCAAAATAGCCAAAGAGGTGTATGTTAGACTTACATGAGATTCCCAAATGGATTGACATACATGAGATTCTCAAATGGATTATTCACTATGTACTCTTTGTTAGAAAATACACCCTATTTTCCAGATAAACAAGTAGACCGTTGAAGTATTATATATCGCACCTTGAACGCAATTCTAAGGCACATCTTTCGCACCCACATTTTCGCGTGGCAGGTGGCAGGTGCGCGAGCGTTGGTGCGAAAGATGCTCCTTAGGGTTGGGCTTAGGGTGCGATATATAACACTTCAACGGTCTACTTGTTCTACTTTACCTGAAATTGAATGGCAAATAGTTGTTAGAATTTTCAAGATGTGTCAGTGCTAATTCAACTTTGATCATTTAGCAAAGTCTTGACAATAAATGCAGACATAAATGATTTGAAAAATAGCTTTAGTTTGATAACTCCAAAGTAATACATATAAAGCAGGATGGGACCTAGATGGGAAATTTTTGTTTTGCAAAATATGGCAAATTATTAGAGCAGACTTTTCCGAAAAACTCATAATCGAGAGAACTAGACGACGGACATAAAAAACTGTTGCGAAAGTCTGTGCCTCTCCTTTACGGCGTCAAACACCGCTCGCGTCGTGGCGAACTTCCCACTCGAAAAATAGGGTATAAATGGATATTGCTTATTATATTAGTATGTGTTGAGAGGAGGGGCAGATGGGACAGGATGTGCAATCGGTGCCAGGAATGCACCAGCGAACTGTGGTATGACACCAGCCCCGGCTGCGGCGGCCCAGATGTTGTGGCCAAGTAAGCAACCGGGGCAGGTGCGGGGACAACCACCGTTCGACGATGCACTCCTGGCACCGATTGCACATCCTGTCCCAGTTTCCCTCGCTTGATCTTCTTTTCTCTTTCTCTCTTTCTCTTCTGATGACCGCAACCACACACCTGAAGAAAATATTGAACGCGATGAAATGAAACAACTTACAACTACTTTCTTCTCTGCAGTGGGCAGATACTGCGCGGAAGTGGTAACCACGCAAAACATTAAGATCAAACACATCAGTACCGCGACGTCGGAATGGCAGATGGCAGACTTCAGAATGGTGCGAATCTTCGTTCCAAATGCCTTCAGAAGTTGTTGCCTTTTCAGTTCTTCAACATCACGACGAAGGCAATCCGATTTCTTTTGCAGTAGTAAATTTTCTCGAATAGCAATAATAAGGTGATCCTGAAAATAGTAGTTTGCATGAAGATAAAGATGCAGACGGCAGGTAGGGGATAGAAAGCCTCCAGTCTGAACCGCCTCTTGGACTACTGGCCCTGTAACGAGATGCAGCAACACTGCAAAAGGACCAGTAGGCCGCAAAAGGCAGCTCATTCTGGCGGCCATCGTTCCCCTACCATCGCCATTAGTATTAGTACGTTAGTATTACATTATGTCCTCAATGTACAGACCACACTAATTCTGGAACTACCACCCAGTAAAAGCGAGATCTAATACTTACCCGTTGACTCAATGTAGGATACGTAAGGCTTTTTCCAGTCCATCCATAATATTCCATCCATACTTCACACCCTGAAAAGTTAAAATCATTACTTATAATAACGGGCTAAGGTTGTTTACGTGACTTTGTGTGTGTGTGAGTGTGTCTGTTACGAAATTCGTAGAGCGTGTTCCAGCCAACCTCCTGTGGCCGTATTCATCAACGAACCCCGAGGGTTAAACTAACCCTGGAGGGTTAGTTTAACCCTGGAAAGCGTTTAACCCGTATTCATGAAACACAGGGTAGGCTTAACCCTGAGGGTTAAATCTAACCTTGAGGGTTAATTTTACCCCGAAAGCGACTAACCCGTATTCATCAACGAACCGTGAGGGTTAAACTAACCCTGGAGGGTTAAACTTACGTGATTCATCAGGGTTAATTTAACCCTAGCTCAGAGCAAGGTTAACTCTACCCTAACGCTTCATACAAACATTTACTCGCATCTAATAGTTTATGGAAAACGATCAACGAGTATTGTAGTATTTAGTATTGGTCGTTGTTATAGTATTTAGTTTCGACTTCGTTTTATGTTCATATTCGAAGTACATGAAACCCTGACTTCGCGAGAAAAAGAATTCTAGCTTTGGTGACGAATGAATGCGACGAGGAAATTTGGCGTTCCACTCCGACAAGTGCTAAAGAGAAGAACACGCAATATAATAATATATATAATAACACGCATTGACCCCCAAAAGAGTAGCACAAGCCCGGTATAAAACGAACTGCGCAAAAGTAGAACTTACACTGCACAATTGCACACATGAAAATAAATTCACGCTGTAAGATTGGATGCTGCACAAGTATGCTAGAGATGTATTATAAAAACTAGTGTTAGAAGCTTATTCGTTGACTATACTACTATAGGTGAAACAATAGAAGTATAAAGTGAATTTAGCCCGTACTTAGGCATTCTGTGATGTGAGTTTGCACAGCGCACGCGTAATTGACGCCTTAACCCTCCAGGGTTAATTTAACCCTCAGGGTTCGGAATACGGCCACAGGTTCGTTGATCGATACGGGTGGATTGCGTTCCGTGGTAAACCCTAGCCTATGGTTGATGAATACGGCCAATGAACCCTGAGGGTTAAACTAACCCTGGAGGGTAAGCTTAACCCTCAGGGTTCGTTGATGAATACGGCCACTGGGCTCAAATTTTGCACAGTGTATGCTATCCGCATGGAAGTCCAACATGCAAAAGCACGAGCAGATTCGTTTAGTGGATCCCTCAGAAACTGCGTGTCAAACGGATCCACTTTGCATTTGGGCCGCCAAATTGGGTCCGTAATTCCACTTTTTGTAGAGTCGTGAATGTTTATGCCAAATAAATGTGCAAGCCGTTAACTTAGGCCCAAAAAAATGATTAAATGTCCATTACTTTACAAAAACGGCGCCAAAAAGTATTGGTTGCTTAAATGGTCAATTTGCTAAGGTTTTACCAGAGCTTTTGACGAGATTTTTGCACAAAGATGTAGCTCACGGTAACTGCTATTCTTGTTGCAACTGTCAAGACCACGGGAAAATCAAGAACCTATAAAAATTTGCGTTTGTTTTCCTGCAAAAAGTCTCATCCACGCGAAGTCACCGATTTTACATAAAAAAGCTTTCGGAATGAGTAGTTGTTTACATTTTGTTCCTGATAGTCGGCATTGCTCGGTGAGTTCCAATGCCATCATTGTGCGAGAATGAGTAGGGCCTAGATAGTGGAGCCAGTGCGAGCCTCTGCGAAGCAGAGGTGACGCACGGGTAATTTATACTCACCAAAAGAATTTTGATTGCTTACGACACTTGGAGGAGCAGCAGGTGGAATGCCTCCTGATGGAGGAACTGAAAGTATGACTGGTTGTGTTGCGTCGGTGACATTAGTAGTAATACCAGCTTGCTTGAAGTCAATGAGCATCTTTTCTACCTGAGCCACCTCATCATCTCTCATGACATCTGGATCAGGCGTGAATGGAACGCCAGCGCTCGCAGCAATCTCTATCATACACCTAAACAGTTGGAGGATAATGACTTTCTGATGAAACTAATGGCCAAGGAAGACTAGATACAGTCTTCAGAGATATATCTGCCCAGGAAAACTAAGAATGCTAGCAATAATAGTGGGAAGAACTGGAATTTTTTTAGAAGACCTTTACAACTTCAAGAGGCAGCGATATGACAAATTAATACGAGAAGAGCAAAAACTTGATCGAGCTTTTTCAGAGTTGAAGGGAAAGAACAAATGGAGTGACCAGATAAGAGTATAACGTATCTGCAAAACACTACATTTTCACGGAAAGATGTTTTCAGCAAGAAAGTCTTGACAAGCAACTGAATGGCAAGATATTTTCGTTGACGATGATTAGCCACGGTTTGCAAAAAAGGGGAAGTGTACGAAAACCTTAAGCCCGCGCATGATCCCCAGTGAAGCGACAATGCAAAGTTGCGAAAAAAGAATAGATGAAACAAACAACTGTGCATTAAAAAAATGCATAGTACGAACTATCGCCTAAAAATCATGTTTTCAGCACCAGCACGAAAATGCTCTAAGAAAAATGCCACAACTACTATCGTTCAAGGATAACATCTTCAAATTTCAAAAATTTCGGATCGGTAGTAATAAAAGAGGGTAGATTACCCTATAAATGCTAATTACAGCAAAGAGATTGGAGAAACAAAAGAAATTTGCGCATGTGTTCCATCATAAAATTTACTTCTGCTAGTTTTTTTGAAGAATAGTAGAGAGAAGACCCTTTTTGAGCATAGTTCATAGCATAGTAATCCTCGCGGATGATATATTCCACTCGTATACCCGCTCGATCGGCCTTATTTGCTGTAAAACGGGTGACTAGATTCCGTAGCACAAACTAGTTCGTTAGTCTAACTTCGTTGTAGTGTTTAATCCCTATAAGTCTCGAAAAACACGGAATAGGTTCGGAAATCAGAGTAATTTCGACAGCCACATTATTCATTCTTACGAAAACAAACATAACATATAGCAAAAAACCTTTTAAATTTGTGTTCAACTGGAAAAAGAACTAATCTTATCAGCATTTAGCTCAAGGACCCGTCATACTTGGCCAAAAAAGCTCAAAAAAGCCCAAAAGCGCACGAAGAAGTCCAAAGCCCAAAGGCGCCAGAAAGAGCCGGAAGGCTTCCTTTTGCGCGCAAGTTTTGCCGCTAAGATATTATGCTGATTTTACAACCGAGTTATTTTGCTTCATTTTCTATCGTGTGCACATCAAAATAATGCAAGAATGCATCAAAAGGTTCCAGGGGCGTTACGGCTCTTCCTGGCGCTTTTGGACTTTTTGAGTGCTTTTGGTCTTCTTTCGGCGAAGTATGACGGGTCCTACAGATTGTTTGGCATACTACGCGATATATTAAACAAAACAATATGAGGTAACAGACAATTTCTTCTTCCAATAATGTCACAGAGCCTCGGGCGATCAATAACAAAATGTTTTTTAAAGTAGAAAAATAATTAATAAAACTTATGAGCACCACATAACAAGAAAGTGTAAGCCTTACATGCTATGTATTCAGCAATCTCCGTACATGCCTTCATTGCCATTTTCGTCTTCTTCTTGCCCATCACTTTCAACCGGTTGATTGCGAGTTGAAGATATCTCTTTAGCTTCGGATACTGAGCTCCCCAGCTTGTTGACATTTTGCTTGAATGAATATATAGTAGGAGAATTAAAGAAAAAACATATGTAAAATGTACGAGCAACGGAAACAGTAAAACAAAAGATTTGCGCGAGTAACAAACAACAAAATAGCACTTGCTTTGTAACTGCACAGAAACAGAGTCACGTTTAATACTAATAATACTTAACACTAGAAACCAATTATTGTTGAAATAAAGCTCATCCTCATCTAAGACTCAAATACTGAGTAGAGGAAGTGATGAAATGATCGGCAAACTTTGCTGCATTTGCTTAGGGCGCGCTTTGTGATTACACCGCATGTAAAATTTTATACTGTAGATGAATTTTATGTAGAAAAGTATGAAAACTTATGTGGGCAAAGAGCCGGTGCAATCTGAGCTGGCACTCAGCTGGAACGGTGCCAGCTAATTCAGATAAAAGTTGGGCACAGCTTCCATTCACATAAGTTTTCATAGATTTTCAGGCTGTAGTTCGAGTCCCCCAACGCGCATGTACACACCAGATTTGGTGTCATATGATTGCGTTTTGTTTGTAAATAAGGCCTTTGTTTGTTTTCGGCACAATTTGAATTCCCGCCGCTGGCATGCAGCCGGCATGTCGCCGCCGGCATGTCAGTGGCATGCCAGGGCTGAATTTAGATTTAGCATGCCGCCTGCATTTTTCCTGGACCCCGGAAAAACGATATCCCCTTTGCTTTCGGCCCCAAAAACGATATCCAGCTTAACACGGTGCCAGCTGTGTCGAGCTCTGCGCGAGTATCTTACGGATTGACTTACTTCCTCACTGTAAGTAGGCTTTTTTGCTTTATCGTAACTCTTGCGGTCCTGTAGTGATATGAGGGGAGGGGGACTTTTCATACGATCAGGGACTTCGCACCTATCCTTAGCAGCTACCTTACATCTACTCCGCAAGTCTCGTCCCATGTACAGTGCATGTTAATGAGGAGCTCACAAGTCCGTAACTCTTACACGTACGCATCGCAAGGCTGATGCGCTCCGTTCGCGTGCGTACGGCTTGGGCCCTTGCCAACTCTCGATCGATGACGTCTGTGGGAGTTGGCAAAATGCCCTGCCGTCCGCTCGCGCACGTGGCGCACGGGATTTGCGGCGCGTGCATGCAAATCGAGGACTGCACAAAAGGGAATAGGTTTTTGACATCGCCTGTAGTGAGTCAGATTCTCCACTGCGGCTGGGCGAGGGGGGGAGGGACTTTTTATACGAAGGCTCTTTGATCATCTTGACCTTTGGCGATTTGCCACGATGTTAATATCATTACCAATTATCGACTACACCTACAACGGACACAAAAATCTTTTTTAATCAAAAATGTACTCCATAAATATTTGCGAGGCATACACTTGAATACAATTACATTTTTTGACCATCTTTTAAGCAAAATTCTGTATTTCTTATTTCCAGGCCATTTCTTTCCTCCAGGCCATGCTAAAAGGAGGACTATGAGATGTACTAGATTTAAATCGAAAGAAAATTTCGCAATAAAATGAAGAATGTTAAACGTAAAATAGCCATATTTTCAGGGAAAGAAAGTATCTTTTCAGAGAGAATTGCAAATGATTTGAATGGAAAAGGGAAACATGAAATCATCATGCACGACGTAGGATCTTTCATGAGTAGTTTATTTTTTGGCCCAGACGCAATCCACAATTTTGCCTTCAATCAATTCATCTAGCACTTCTGGCAGCTATTTTTGTATCACGGTGTTGTTTTTTTTAACAAAATGCTTTTCAGTGCATGCATCTTCTCGCGATATTGCAAAAGCTGTTCTAGGTGATTCGTATTTTACGCTATGGGGCCAGCATGCTCAAAAACCCCTCTAAGCAAAGTTCTGAGCAAATTAGGAGTTTTGACCCATCAGCCGTATACGCAGTAAGGCCCCGGACAGACTTTACGCGATTTGATCGTCGCGAATGAATCGCGACGAGACAACTGTTACAACATCATTCCATGCCGATCAACTTGCATTTCGGTTGTGATACTTTTCCAGCCCGAAATTTTTGAATGTGAAATCAAAATGAATGGGAATGTCGGCAACTGAGTCGCGACGATCAAATCGCGTGAAGTCTGTCCGGGCCTAACCCGAGAAAATGGTACTATTACACGAAATGAATACGATGTTCATGTTCGGCATGCCAAATAAGCCCCCTGGACGAAGTGTTGGGCAAATCTGTGGTTTTGACCCCTACCATACTCGCCGTAACTCCACCAGATGGCACTAGCGTGCGAAATCTAAAGCAACCTCTTGGAAGAAATGTCAGCAAAATCCACGACTTTCATTTTTGGGTCAACTAAATGTCAAAAGGAAAGGTATACGCTGCTGCATGAAGGCGCAGTACCTTTGGACGCGAACGCGGCGTTATTAGCCGCAGAGAGCGGGAGGCGCAGAATTTACAACGGTGAGGATAGGCGCGCGTCGCGTTCGCGCCGCTCATTTAATACTTCTTCTGCGCCTTCGTCATGAAGCAGCCTTTACCCGCGCGCGTCAAAGAATTCTTTACGTGAATAAAGGGCTCATTAGCATTTACCCGACGCTAACGATATCATAGCTATAAACAGCATGCTAGCGACCTCTTGCACAAAGTCACGAGCAACTTTAGAGTTTCACCTTTTCCACACACCCATCATAATTTCGCAAGATGGTGTTACCGTGCAAAATCACTATGATTATAGGGATAGCCAAGTAACACTACGTACATAAAAGGGATTGGGATTTTGATACCACCGTAAAACCACAAGCAGTAATAAGCGAGTATGATTTTGTGGTCAGTGTATCAAATAAATGCCCCACATGGGCGTTTAGTGGTTCATAAGATCCTCAATACGAGACTGGTATATCCAAACATACTTAAAAAAAGAAGGTAAAGCAATGGCAAAGTGAAGATGAAACAGTTTATACCTTACTGTGCTTCTTCTTCAGGCAAAGCAAATGAAGTGAAGAAAATTGATCCACAGACTTCACATAGGAATTCTCGCTTATCCCCCTTTTTTGCTCTTTTCAACGCATTTTTCACTTCTGCTACTTCCTCTTCGGTGCTACCATAAATCTCACGTAGGCCTTCGAATAATTTTCTTTGAACATTGGTCCTTCATGGCAAACGTGGCACACGGTCTTCGTCAACATCTTGGAGCACCGAACTGCAATGAAATTTCTCAAACATATGATCAAACCATAAAGATAGATAAACGAAGCGAAAATCTCTAGCCAAAGTGTAACAGCGAACAGACAAACAAACCTCAACTGCTAAAAACAGAATAAAGCTTAGGATGGCGAGGATGTCAAATTTGAATTTTGTAAAAAACAGCTTCTAATGACAGCA